AGCAGCAGTAGCAGCAGTGTCGTTTTGAGTTGCATTAGGCCGCTAAACCCTAAAAGTTTTTCTTTTACGTTGTTTAGGGTTTGTGAGGGTTTATAGCTGTTGACGTCAGCTGCTGTTATTGCTGCTGCTGCTGCTGCTGTTGCTGCTGCTGCTGCTGCTGCTGCTGCTGCTGCTGCTTAGGAGGAAGCAGTTGCTGCTGCTAAGGAGACGGGGATGCTGCAGCAAGCGAGAGAGGCAGCCCTAGCAGCAAACAGAAGACATCTCCGCAAGATAGAGGCCAAGGTCGGGTTTAGGGTTTAGGGTTTAGGGTTTAGGGTTTAGGGTTCAGGGTTTAGGGTTTGGGGGTTGTTGCCTCCACACAGGGTTTTGAGGGTTTAGAGGCTGCGCTTTCGGTTTGGGGTCCGGTAGCGTCAGGGGGAACAGGCTGCGTTTTAGGGTTTAGGGTTTAGGGTTTAGGGTTTAGGGTTTAGGGCTTGCTGCAGATGGTGATGCAAGCTCACAGCGCAAGGAAGCTGCTACGGGCCCTCGCAGAGAAGCGGCAGATGCTGGTACGGCGTAGGGTTTAGGGTTTAGGGTTTAGGGTTTGGGGTTTAGGGTTTAGGGTTTAGGGATTGGGGTTTAGGGTTTAGGGTTTGGGGTTTAGGGTTTAGGGTTTCGGGCTCTTTCGCTTTGCTGTTTTAAGCGTTTCCTTAAGAGGTGTTCCTGCTGCCGTTGCATCGGTTCTAGGGTTTAGGGTTTAGGGTTTAGCGATGCTTTAGGGTTTAGGGTTTAGGGTTTAGGGTTTAGGGTTTGGGGTGTCTGTGCAGCTGCGTTTCGCTGCTTTCTTCCACCGCCGCGTGATGCCGGAGACAGACGAGCGGGTTGTCTTCAGCAGGCTGCAACAGGTGGGGTAAAACAAACCCCCCCAAACCCTAAACCCTAAACCCTAAACCCTAAACTTTCTCCTAGGGTTTAGGGTTTAGGGTTTAGGGTTTAGGGTTTACAGTTTGGATTCATTTCACAATCTATGGTTCGGCATTTATGATCTAGCGTTTAGAATCTAGGGTTTAGGGTTTAGGGTTTAGGGTTTAGGGTTTGTGTGTGCAGCTACACCTGGATAGCCGGCGTGCA